TATTCCAAAAAGCAGGTTATGTGACATACCCGGGTATGTTTGAGGATAAGCGAGCGGATAACCTCAGCTTTCGGTTCCAAAATCGGAGGTTACTTTCAGGGTATGTAAGTAACCATAGTAACTTGCTCTCTGAAGATAACCTGCTCCGGAGCAGGTTATGTTCCAGGGTTAGTTCACTTCAGCGCACGTGTGATCTACTGACGAGCCTTCAGTGGGCGTGACAGATAGCGCACAACATTATATAATATTACTTTTTTTTTTGTATATGTTAATGATGAAGCGCTAATATAAGTAATAAATAAGGTAATATATTATTCTAATATGGTTATTATATTTATTTTATTGGCATGTATAACAGTTATCTGTATAAATTATAAAACACTATGACAAGGTAATGTTTAATTTATTATATTATATATATTTATTTATTACATTTTATATTATCATCTCACACATGGATCGGCATTTTCTATAATGTCTAAATTCTAAATCAAAATACATATCTGATATGACTTAATATATAATTAGCATCAAACAAACAATATAATTAATATTCTCAAGGATTAAAGATTAAACGGAAAAAAATAAAAATGATTGCACAACCATCCATTAGGTGGCGATATGCACTAAGCATGTAAACGACCATTGAACAAAAGAAGAAGAAAAAAACAGCATGGCATGCTTTTTCTTAGCGTCCATTTCCATAGTGACTCGTCGATTCGTCACTCTGTTGAGAATGACTCGAGTCTTAATCAGGAACATACTCTGAGTTGAATGAACTTACTCCCGGACGTGTTTTTGGAACCACATACCTCGAGTAAGCAAGGTTTGGGGTTAATCAACCGAGAGTCCAGGGTTTAGCTGACGCTAAGTTAACCGTGCTTTCTGGAATACACACCAGATTCACTCACTCTTTGTCATTAACTCAATCAGTGGATTATGTTAGTTGAGTAATGTAGGAAAACTAGTGAAATAGGGGATGATTTTAGATAGAGCCTTAAAGACCTCGATTTGCTGCTTTAGGTGTGTTTAATTGGGTTGGAGTTAAACTCTGCAGGACAGAGTCGCTCCTGTTGCTGGATTGGACACCCTTGCCCTCAGGTGACCACCTACTTTGAATTGTAAAAAAAAAACATGTTTTTCCAGTTGGGTGATGAGACTGGGTTGCATGTATGTGCCATGATGATAATGAATAATGCATGCATGAACAGATTTTGACTTCATCATTATAGCTGTTAAGAATACTGTATGTAGAATATTAGATCATTTCACAGCCCTGACATCAAACGAACTGAAGACAATATTTACAACAGCGCCTAAAATCAAAAGAACTACGTCAACTTGTTAAGTATTAATCAAGGTACTCCTCCCAATTTAAAAGGTGTGGGGGAAAAAAAATCTATCAAAATATATAACTTCACCTTTCGTCAAATTGTTGAATACACAACTTGAATCCTAAAGACTATAAATTCTGCTCCAATACATAGCTTTAAACCATTTTCTCTTGTGATCAAGGAGAAGTTTTTCCACAAACAGAAGTTGCATGAAGGTGTTCATCAGGGAAGATGTCTGTCTAGGAACACACTCTCTCATCCTCCTTTATTCTGAGGGTTTCGGCAGCAGCTCGAGTCTGTAATAACAGAGTTTACCTGCGAGTACATCTTGTTCTGCCACTGTCTTTGTCCAGACAACGCAGCACCAATCTGGAACATTCCATGTGTGGCCGGCAACATTCCCACATCCAGCTGCAGGAATTTCTCTGGATGATTGTTGTTTGGCAGGACGGCTATGTCCATTTTGTGACTTGTGTAAGGTTGAAATGAGTCTTACTGAGTCTGATCTCAGTGTGAGTGTGAATTATTCATGATGTAACTCTATCTGAGCCCATATGATGCCACTATCCTGCTAGTAAAGGGCTAGTCCCACAGCTATTGACTGACAGAATGTTACGCAATACCATCAGCATGTATAAACAAGGCATATGATAGTTTGTTGTACACATTTTCTGTTTGTTGTGTGGAATAACATAAAATCGTACTATAATTTCAACTACAATCTACCGTCAGTGTCTTTGTACTATCAAAAACCTAATAATTACCATCTTCAAGAGTCACTTCCCTTGTTTTCCTGAGTATAGGGTCAGATTTAAATTAATTTGTGTTCACTTAATCATTGAGGTTGCAATTAAAATTGATTATCAAAATAGTAAACATTAAAACACATACAGTAAACATGCCTTCCTCCTGTAACTTCTGGATTTGAGGTACATCAACTGAGATACAAACTGTTACCTTTCCTTTAACAGAGAACATGCATAAATATCACAAACTTTTAAAACCCATCCTTCATAATATTAAGATCTAGTGTCTGAGAATGTGCTTTGAATTTATTAATATTAGTGTGTGTGTGTGTGTGTGTGTGTAAAATAGAATTACGTGTGTGGTCTAGGTGTGCAGCATTCTTGTTGCAGGGGATACTGTCTCTCAGTGGGAGAGCAGACTGGATATGAGGACAATAATAAATATTAGGAATAAGAAAAATAAAATATTCCTGAATTCATGCTGATATTTCACTGTGGTTTATATACGTGTAATATCTCATTTGTATTCCCTACCACTAGATGGCAGACATGTAGTACTTCGATTCTAGACCAAAATGACGTCATGTTCCTATTCAAAGTGTTTGAGGAAATAGCAGAGCAAGTGAGCTTTCGTGTCATTGATGCGGAAGCAGTTCAGTTCATAGCGTGCGGGTAAGCTGTGAGATTTGTGAGAGAAAATCGCCAAATGGCTGATAAAAGTTGTACCGTGAGGATGTGTTGCAAATGTTATTCGCCGATTCTGACTCTGAAGGGGAATATTTGCCTTTTGGAAATGACGATCGGTCGTCTAATAATTGCGCTTCTCCCGGTACATCTTTGCAGCGCAATGGTGCCGCCGTGCAAGGCGAGAGTGTTCACGAAGCACAAACAAGTGATCATTTCGACCCTTTGCCCAATGGGGATGGGGGTGGCAGGGCAATATCTATTATTTCCTGAATATTACTGATGAACTGATCAAAAAGTAGGCTACTGTTCACATGCGTTTTACTACTATATAGTAAAGTAATATAGTAATAATTTAGTACTTTCTCCTGTTTTATTGTTGGTTTCCTCTTTTCTGATCATTTGGAATGAGGATAAAAAGACAAAAAAAAAAACACGCAAATAAGTTCAAACATCAATTCAATATCTATTATTTCCTGAATATTATGACATTCAGGAGGGCCGCCCCCTGATGACGTCATAATATGCAAATTAGATGAGTATATTTACACCCCACATAAACTTTTGGTCATGCCCAACATTTTTCTAATTTACATTAGATCTCTATCTTTAAGCCCTTTCAAGCTACAAGCTTTTGAAATCTTGATGTCAAAATCCAGCATTTTTCCAAAAGAACCCTGGCGCCTAAAGGGTTAACATTGTGTGCAGTGTTCACTGAGGATTTTGCTGTGTATGTTCTACATTTCAGCATCTACCCAAAAAGAGTTTTGTACCTGTAAATGTTTTTTATTAAACTATTATATTATATACATACAATCATGAAAAAAGTGTAGCAATTTTTTTTTATGCATTATTATTCCACAAGTGTCTGTATTTTATGTCGGTGGCTAAGCGCAGCATAAGTGGCTCAGTGGGAAATGCTGTCTCCTCACAGCAAGAAGATCTGTGGTTCAATTTCCAGCTGAGCCAGAAAGTCTTTCCCTCACAATCTAAAGATGTGTGAACTACAAACGCTTATTTGTCTAAAGGTGTAGCTGTGTGTTTTACTGCCTATTGATGGATCCGTGGCTGAGTTGTTTTGTGAGTGTTTTTTTTGTGTGGCTTTTTTATGGCTCAGTTCTGGGGTTTCTGGTTATGAGCCATATCTGTAGTCCAGATCTGGGCCACGAGGGCTGTAATTCTTTGCTGCATGTGGGCCGAGTGAAACTGGTTGTTTGTTAGACTCAACCACTGAATTCAGAGACACATTTTGCTCAGGTGACAAAACCGGTCTTTCAATCAACGCAACTCTTTTCGAAGGGTTCGCTTTTCTACTAACTTTACGTTTCAAGGTGGGACAATTTGCAATGAGGTGCCCAACCTCATGACAATAAAAGCATTCACGGTTCTCATTACTGTCTGCACTCAAAATGTTCTTAGGTACTACTGTGGCATCCTTAGAACAACGAACTCGATCAGGGAAATCACGCTTTGTGGGTGAAAACACTACTTTGTGCGTAAGTACAAATTCATCAGAAAAAAACTGCAGCCTCAGAAAGAGATGACACTTTCTGCTCATTTAAGTAAACCACGATTTTCTCTGGTAAACAACTCTTAAACTCCTCCAACAGTAATAACTCTTTAAGCTGCTCAAACGTGTCTACCTTGTTTGCGGCGCACCACTTGTCAAACAAATTTGCTTTGTCTCTGGCGAATTCAACAAACATTTGACTAGGGGTTTTCACAAGACTGCGGAACTTTTGCCAGTATGCTTCAGGAACTAGCTCATAAGCACGCAAAACAGAATTCTTCATTACATCATAATCCAAGCTCTGCTCAAGCGTTAACGCTGAGCAGACTTCTTGGGCTTTACCGACGAGTTTGCATTGCAGCAACAGTGGCCAAACAATCCACGGCCATTTTAACGTGGCGGCGATTCGCTCAAACACGGTGAAATAAATGTCAACCTCACTCTCTCGAAACAGTGGTACTAGTGCAATTTGGCGACTAATATCAAATTCAGGTTGACTTACTTGTGGGTTGCGTCGAGGTGCAGGAGTGGGACTTGGAGTGGAAGCACTGATGGGTGACGACACAGACACACTCAAACCAGGCGCATCAGCAGCTGAGGGGTGAAAAGGTGATTTAGTTCTGAGCTCAAGCTCCAACTCTTTGAGCTTGATTGCTCGCTTAGTTTCAAGCTCAACTGTGCGAGCATGCAGCAGCTGACTTTGATATTGTTGCCTGCTCAACTCCAACTCTAACTCTTTTAGTTTGATTGCCAACCGAGGATCGCTCGGAGAAGGGAGATCAACGGGATCTATGCTGGCCATCTCCTCGGGTTTGGGATGCTCCGCCTCCTTACCCACGGAAACTGGCAACTGATCTGCAACACCCGCTTCAGTCACCTCCGACAAAACTCCCTGCTCCACCAAATGCTTATAGATCACATCCTTGATTTCTCGCTTCACTGCACCACGAGGATCTGTAATTTGATATAAATCAGCAACTGAAAACAGAACATCTTTGCAACAAATGTCCAATTATTCAGCAGTAGGCTGAATTGCGAAATTTTCCAGCTCAAATTTTGAGGACATACCGAATTCCCTCCCCCTTAAAGTGAAAACCACTAGCCAAACAAAAACATACAAAGCAAATTTCTTTTTATTTCACTAACACGCAACGGCGAAACTCCAATTGGTTTTTGTGGAAAAAACTCCTATCCCGGACGAGCCCCCAATTTCTGTTACGACTGATAGGGGTCAGCCGTAACAGGAAAAGAAAGAGAGTCTCAATACCAGAGAGATGTTGAACAACAATAATTTATTTACAAATAAGGTTTTAGCGTCAGGGGCAGACAAGGCCAAAATAACAAACAAAAATTATCCTTTTTTAACACTCTACACTTCCTAAATCAAAATTAAAGCAAACAAACATACAGTTTAAACTTACCTGCCTCCCTAAACCAAAATCACCATTTTTGAGGTTCATACGCTGAATCTTGATATCTGTGTGAGGCTACATAATCCCATTCAAATAATGTCTGCATAAAGACTTAAAAATGTTCAAAATATTGGAACAGAACAAAATTTCATGCAGTTGTATATTGGGGCTGCAACAATGTAAAATAATTAAATCTAAGCTATGTCTTCAGAGATCAAGCTTTGGGTGAAATCAGGCCACTACTGGTGCTTTCACACTAGCATTTTTGGTGAGCACCCGGGTTTGACTGACGTCAGAGTTCGGTTCATTTGGATAATGTGAACGCTGTTTAGTAACGACGGTACAGGAGAAGGCGGCAAATGCATCACATTGTTCTCTGCACTTTTATATATTTACGTTTAAATAAATACAGTATATAGTTTGTTAAGTGCTAAGGGGCCAACGCTTTGCCAATGAGTAAATTCTCAGGGGCCCTGCGCTGGCAGCCCTAAGTGGGCCTGTAAAGGGCCAGTGCAGGCTTGTTTGCAGGGTATCCATTCGTGAGAGTGGTATATTTTGCACTGTATTTTGGTACATTCTGCACTGTTAAAAAATTCACTCAACTTTTTGAGTTATCTTTTTGCACTGACACAAGTTGCATTTACACAGAATATTAAGAATGTTCAACTTGACAAATTTAATGTCATTTAAACGTGTAAAGTTCAGTTGGAATAACTTTATGAAAGTGAGGTGAATTTTCAGTACAAAATTTTCCTTTATTTTTTTTCACTCAACTTAAAGGATAAGTTCACTTCCAGAATAAAAATTTCCTGATAATTCACTCAACCCCATGTGATCCAAGATGTTCATGTATTCAATGGGGATCAACGGGTTGAAGGTCCAAACTGCAGTTTCAATGCAGCTTCAAAGGGCTCTACACGATTCCAGCCGAGGAATAAGTGTCTTATGTAAAATTTCTCAGCATCTCGCAGGTGGCGCTCCTGGATCACTAACGTGGACATCGCCCTCCCCAGAGCCTGCGACATGACCTTCGTAGCCCGGAGGGCATATAGTCGGTCGCTGAGCGCAGTTCCTGCAAAACCTCTGGGCTGATGTTCAACTTGACAAATG